AAACGTCTCTAATGAAGAAATGCTGATGGAGATAGCCTTGTTTAGGCTAAAGAAGGCTCTGGGGTGACCTCATGGTGGCCTTCCAGTACTTGAGGGGAGCTTATAAGCATAAGGTAGACTGACTTTTTGCATGGTCTGATGGTGATGGGACAAGGGAGAATGGCTTTAAAGAAAAATAGGAGATTTAGGTTAGATGTTAGGAAGAAATTCTTTACTCAGAGGACAGTGAGGCCCTGGTACTGCTGCCCAGAGCTGTGGGTGCCCCAACCCTGGAGGTGCCCAAGGCCAGGTTGGATTGGGCCCTGGGCAGCCTGAGCTGGTGGGAACAGCCAGCCCATGGTATGGGGTTGGTGCTGGATGGGCTTTAAGCCATTAAACCTAAGATATTCTATGATACTAAAGCTCCACAACTTGAAGCCAAACCTTCATATCCACCCCAAGCTTGGTGTTGTCACAGAAAAAAACCAATAATGGCAGTTAGCTCACACAGCACAGCAGTTCCACAGCGCAGGCGTTGGGTACTGGTCAGAGGCTGTGAATCCTTTCAGAGGCGACAAGATTGCTGCTAAGAGAGAATGACTTCCAGTCACCCCAACATTAAAAACAGCAGCAGTATACACTGCATAAGAGTCCTACATACACATGCACCAGAGAGAACTTCGTTGTTATGCATTTTCATGTAAACTGCGGCTTACACTTAATAAGATACAGGCTCAAAGGATAATGTAAAGGATTTATGAAACAAAAGCCTGGAAAAAAAAACGAAAGAAAAAAAGCATTTTGGTAACAGAGTAACATTAACTGTTCTATAAAGCTATGAACACTTGACATAAAATTATCCAGAAACTGCTGAGTCTGTTGGAGAAAAACAGAGAATGACTGAACTTGGAGAATTTCATAGTAGTTTGATCACTGATTCCTCAGTAAGCTGTTTAGGACTGCAGGCTAAACATTCTCCTGGAACAGATGTATCAATCAAAAGCTAAGCCTACTTCAAATAAGTAAGCACTGTCTATTTTCTTCTCCAGAATGCTTGATCAAAAAGCTGTCTTCTCTGGCCATTGATTGCTTTGTGTTTGGAAGCTGCCTGAATACTTCACTGATTTTAGCAGGTCTAGATCTTCAAAGACAGGTCAGTTTTTGTCAGTGATGAAAGAAATCATCTACAGCATATAAAGTAGATTAATGTTTGTCAGGCATTTCAAACAAGGCAGAAACCTATTCTTTCCTGTTCTTTAAAGAACCTTATGACTTGTTTTCTTATAAGGAAGGGATAAAAAATTCCAGAAACTAAGAGAGCAGAACAGAAACCCTATTTCTCACTCCTTGATAGTCTGCAGTTATAGTACAACAGGATCAACAGATTAGAAAATGAAAAAGGAAAATGTTGCTGCAGTAATTTTTATGAGTAGTTTTTGATCTTGCCCTCATGATGATTGCCTTCACATATAAACAACGAGATAGCAGAGGACACACCTCAGCTGAGAGATCACCCAAGAGAACGTCCTCACTGTACAGTGAACAGGCACGAATGAAAAACAGTAAAAGGTTCTACAAGCTTGACAGCAGGACCAGGTGCAGCAAACAGGTGAGCAGATGGGACGTGGCAGCTTCAGCTCCTCCTGGTTGTTCTCTGGTGCAAGCCAGCACCCGGTGCAAGCCAGCACCAGGTTGAGACGCCTGGGTTACCCGTAAGTTCCAGGGGGAGCAGGCAATGAGGTGCCTCCAGGCAGCAGGGTTCTGAACCTTGTCCAGATAAGATTGAAAGCAGGAGTTCTACAAACAGTGGTGTCTGCAGTCTTGCACCGCTAAGAAGCAGGCCCTCGATGTATTTCACTCTGAGCACCAGAGAAGAGCTGTAGAATTAAGCCTACATTACAACAAATACCTAAGCTGAGGCCCTCCCAGTGGCTATCACCAGCTTTCTGTAAGGGGCATGTACCTCTAGGACTCCCGACAGACCTCTGCAGCTTGTAGCCTGTTCACTGCCTGACCTAATTCTTCAAAATGGCTGGCCCATTTTGGCTGACAATTTACTTTAAATGCCCAGACACCAAGCAATGGAAAATTTCCTTTAAATGCCAGTTAATGAGCAATGGAAAATGTCATCACGATGAAATTATGCAGGTACTTAAGTACTCTGCTGGATCAGGCCTTTGTGAGCTACATTATGCTCTCACATTTGACTAGATTTCCTGAGTGTGATAAATAAAATCAGACGAACCTCTATGATAAAAGAAGAAAAAAGGAGATACATGTATAAATTTTAAAGCTCCTTTGGTTCTTGGTTGGCATGGAGGAAAGAGGAAAAGAATGCAAAATCATAAACTAGGCTATGCTTGTGTAAATTACTCTGACATTTAATAACTCTCTACTAAAAATTCTCAAGCAAGGCTACTTCAGATATTTTTAAGGTCATGTATCATTTACTGTCTAGGTCAATTTATGCATCAGCAAAAAGGGCTGCAAACCCTTCTGGACAGCACTTTAAAAATAAAGGTATGTGTAACTGCTTGGGCCATATTTTCCTCCCCAGTTTCTGCTCTCTGAACATTTCACCTTGGAAAATTAAAGTAATAAGTGAAGTCAGTATGATATTTCAAGGCAAGCCAAGGACAAGCTTTATAACCGTGCTATCAAAATGCTATTAATAAAAGCAAAAATACACGCACGATGCCTGTGTTCCCCCATGGATGGAAAAAATTATTGTCCATTAAGTTAACATTTCAGATACCCTCTCAGTTTTTCCTAAGGTCCCAAAGAAGGCAACAGAACACATATCTCTTTCAGTGAACTTGTATAAAGTATCTGCTGTCATGTAGTGCTCTATTTTAGTAAACACTCCAAGGCTTCTTAAGAGAATATATGGATGAGTAAGATTTCTGGAGGGAAAAAAGGGGTGGAAAATTGTAGCTAGAATTTTTTTATTTTCACTAGAAGTTTTATACCAATACTTTAGTTTATTTTTCTTTGGGTTCAGAGAGCTGTGTTTATTCATATGTCTCACCTTAACCCTTTGACTTCTCTTCACCACAGCACACAACAGCTCCATGCTTATTCCTAGGACAACCATAGAATGGCTTAGGGTGGAAAGGGCCTTAAAGCCCACCCAGTTCCAACCTCTTTACTATATGCTGGCTGCTCCCCACCAGCTCGGGCTGCCCAGGGCCCATCCAACTTGGCCTTGGGCACCTGCAGGGATGGGGCACCACAGCTCTGGGCAGCACTGCCAGGGCCTCACTGCCCTTCTCAGTAAAAAAATTCCACCAAACATCTAATTTAGATCTCCTCTGTTCTAGTTTAAAACCATTCCCTCTTGTCCAATCACTAACAGCTCATGTAAAAAGCTGGTCTTCCACCTGTTAATAATCTCCCCTCAAATACTGGAAGGCTGCAGTGAGGTCTCCCTGGAGCCTTTTATTCTCCAGACTGAGCAAGCCCAGAACACATGCTGCACCAAGAACTGTTATCTACTTCTTACAGATGGGAAGCCAGATACAGTAGGCATAAAGCAGTGCTGCACAGGAGCATCCAAAGCAGCTCTGAATGAGCAAAGCTGCCTGGGAGATTTCAGGCACATAAGTCACCTCATTCAATTCCCCTCTGCTCATCTCCCAGCATCCCTGAACAACACTCTGCAGAAACACAAGGCTCAGAGCAGTCTGTACCGTGCAAGGAAGTGTGGCCAGAGGCTCAGGATCTCAGGACCACTGAAATTTGTTGAAGATGTCTGCAGAACTGCAGATCATGTAGAGTCATGCTATAAACTCAGACACATTTGCCTTTGGTAGACATTTGCTTTTGCATTTTGTTTTTGTACACAACCAAAGAAACAGGCGGATTCTGACAGGTTTAGAAAGCCCATGGTTTTCCTTGCTGCTTGCCTTGCCAGAAGTCTAACTGCAGAAACAGAGGAGAGACTTGACCCATTTATCAAATTTCTTTAGGTACACCATACAGGCAGATTCTCAGCTACATAATCTCTAACTGTTCCTTCCACAGGAGAAAACATTTGATATTTAAAATACTATGTAATTGTATTGAGTCCCAAGTTTGTACCCAACTTTTTAAAGCAAACTGCCCAAGGAACAGATGGCTCAGCAAGCTTTAGTTGTCACCTGGTCTCAAGTGCTCCAATTGCACACACACACACACTCACACACACAGAGACATGGCAATATAAACTGAGGTAAAAGTAAAGGACCAGATAGTTCACTTCGAAAATGTCACAAGGTATTTCAAAAAAGAAAAAGACACTATTTGCCAAATTGAATTACTCATGATACCTTCTGTTTTATGACAAATATTTTCATTGAAATCACTATAATTATTTTGCCTTTTTCTTTAGTTCTAGCAAACATGAAAGATGAAGTATAAGAAACAGTCATTTTTCTCTGCTAGTTAAATTAACTCAAAGAATGACACACTTTGTAAAACCTCACACTACATATTCTTCCCATCACAGAAAAAAATGCTCACTTTAAAGCTCTGTGCTCAAAGGATTTTAGAGGGAAGCATTTTTTCACTCATACCTACAGTATTATAATTACAGTGATCAGTATTTCTTGGGGAATTTCTCATATCTTCCACGTTTGTTTCATTCCTTTTCAAAACTTCCTTCATAAAACACAATTAAAAGTTCTCAGGCAGTTGACAGAACTAAGAACGGAAGTAACTTTATTATTCATTCCCTCTCCTCCATTATTTATCCTTCTTGAGGTGAAAGTAGGACTCACAACTGCAGCACCAGGAGTTTGCTGCGAGTCCCTGGAACGCAGCCTGCTCACAATTAGCCACTGATCCAGCTGCTCGTACCACAACAAGGGAGTGTAAACTCCCTCCTCCTTGAGGCTACAGCTCCGCAGAGAAACCCTTCAACATCACAAACTTCCACCATTAAGTTTCTCAACTGAATAAACAGCATCAGCTCCGAGCTAAATTCTTAAGCTGCAACAAAATAAATACCCACTAAGAAAGCAGCTTTTTTTGGCATCACATACCTGTTGAACTTTTCTGTATGGTGCAGATTTTGGTTTTGGCCTCTTCTCAGTATCCATCTTCCCTGGAAACAACAGGGCAAGTAATTTAAGGTGCACCATTCTGGTATATGGGATAGGCAAGCCATCTTTGTACAAGCGTTGTACATCACAGGTTTTAATTATTACATTGACAAACAGTGGTGAAATATGCCATGCAGACCATTACCATACTTTACACCAATGCAAGGCTCTACCCATGCTGGTGTTAGTACAAGGCAGTACTCACATTCACATCCAGCTATGGATTTTGAAGCCTGATTCTACATCCATTTTTTCAGCCTGCTCTCTGATCTGCATTTGGTGGGTACAACACCAGTGATTACTCCGAAGTCACAACTTTCTGCGATTGACTGCGATAGTTTAGCTCTATGTGTAACAGTTCCTCTGTTTAATGCACGCTACTTAAATTTTTCCTTGTTAGAAAGTCTTCCATTGGCATTAATTATGTCCACAAGGACAGAGAAGTAAAAAAGCATATTGCTTGCCTGAGGCCTCGGGTGGAAAGAGGTTTCCCAGTGCAGGGAATCAGTCTTTTGTGACTTTAAAATTCCTCATACAGCTGATCCCAGACCAAAACCCCCTGCTCAGCTTATAAATGAAGCGTGAGCCCAAAGTGCTCCAAACTGATTAAACAAAAAGCAGGCAGGCAAGCAATTCACAAGCAGGTCTGTCCTTGACCTGTCTGCTTGGTGGGTGTTTATGCATTTACACTCAGTGGGCTGCAGAGGAAATATCCACCTTATGACGTAACACCTACACGTGCTTTCACTTTTAAATAACGATGTAATATCACAGCCCCTCAGGAACCTCACGTCCGTCCCTTACCTACCAAATTTGGCTTCTGGCAGCCTCTGTTTGCCAGCCCCAGCTCCCACGCAGGGCTGGAACCGCTTATTCCTGCCTGATTTTTGTTTTTCCCTCTCTGAGGGCGCTCCCTGCACACCCTGAGGACCTCAGCACAGAGCTGGAACGCACGAGAGAGGCTGGCAAGAGCCAGCGCGGGGCACGAGCCGCCGCCGAGCCGAGGGTGGGCGCGGGACCGAGCTGAAAGCGAGGGCGCTGCTTCCCGCCTACACGGGCTGCGGGGCGGCCGCGCGCGCGGCGCGAGCACGTTGCAAAGTTCTCTGCCGCGTCCGTCGGTCCGCCCTCGCGCCGCAGGACCAATGGTGGCCCGGCGCGGTGCAGCGGCGACCAATCGGCGCTGTCCCGGCGGGCTGCCCGGCAAAATGGCGGCGCCGGTGGCGGCTCGGTGGATGCCGCGCCGCCGTAACGCTCGCCATGCCTGGTAGCCGGCGGAGGGAGCCCTGCCCCAGGCTCACCGCCCTGCGGGGGCGGAGCGGCGGCGAGGACGGGCTCGGCCGGCGACGGCGGCCGGCGGAGCGTCCCGCGGAGGAAGAGGCGGCGGCGGCCGGCGGAGGCGAGGAGGGCGGCGCGGGCCGCGGCCTGCCCGCCAGGGATGCGCCCCGGCCGTCGCCGTCGCGGGAGGCGGCGGTGCGCGGCGCGGCAGGTACGGCGGGAGCGGCCTCGGCTCTGCCCGCCCGTCTGCGCGGCGAGCAGCTCCCCGCGGAGGGCAGGGCCTGGGAGGAGAGGAGCCGCGACGTAGAGCAGCTCGCAGGGTGCATCTGGCGTAGGGATGGCGTGTTCTAGAAGTTTTGCAGGCGGTTCCGTGTGAAGAGCAGGCTGAGGCAGCTGGGAGCTTGTTGTGCGCAGCTGTGTCCTTGTTGTTATCAGCCCCACCTGGAGAGGCACAGAGACGTGTGGATGGTGCACCTACAGGGAGTTGGGACCCAGAGCCTTTCAGGGGCCTGTGAGTGTTTCGACCCAGACCAGTGTTATACAGTCTTTTACTGTGTGAGACACAGAGTGAGGCGGAAAAAAACATAGCTCTACATAGCATTTCATTAACACACAGTACTCCTTCGGGTAAGAAGATAGGCAGTCCTCATATTTAGTGTTAGATGCTGGGCATCCAGCTGTCAGCATCCTGTCATCTGTATGTGATATCACCATCTTGTCCTGCATTAACTGCAGTGGAAAGAACCCATCCTGTAAGTAAAGAACCTCGATGACTGTGAGTTTGTTAAGTGCACCCTCAGTAAGGTTGCAGATGACACCAAGTTGACTGGAAGTGTCGATCTGCCTGGGGGTAGCGAGGCCCTACAGAGGGATCTGGACAGGCTGGATAGCTAGGCCAATGGGATGAGGTTCAACAAGGCTAAATGCCAGGTCCTCCACTTTGGCCACAACAATCCCAGGCAACGCTACATACCAGGCTTGGGGCAGAACGGCTGGAAGACTGTAGAGGAAATGGACCTGGGGGTATTGATCGATGCTTGGCTGAACATGAGCCAGCAGTGTGGCCAACAAGGCCAGTGGCATTCTGACTTGTATCAGAAACAGCACTGCCAGCAGGAACAGGGAAGTGATTGTCTCCCTGTACTCAGCTCTGGTGAGGCCGCACCTCGAGTACTGTGTCCAGTTTTGGGCCCCTCACTGCAAGAAAGACATTGAGGCCCTGGAGCATGTTCAAAGAAGGGCAACAAAGCTGGTGAGAGGTCTGGAACACAGGCCATATGAGGAGCAGCTGAAGGAGCTGGGATTCTTCAGCCTGGAGAAGAGGAGGCTCAGGGGAGACCTCATTGCTCTCTATAACTACCTGAAGTGAGGTTGTAGTGAGCTGGGGGTCGACCTCTTCTCTCGTGTCATTAGTGATAGGACCAGAGGAAATGGCTTCAAGCTGCACCAGGGGAGATTTAGGCTGGACATAAGGAAATACTACTTTTCTGAAAGAGTGGTCAAGCACTGGAATGGGCTGCCCAGGGAGGTGGTGGATTCACCAATCCTGAAGGTGTTCAAGGAACGTTTGGATTTTGTGTTGAGGGACATGGTTTAGTGAGAGCTATTGATGATGGGTGGATGGTTGGACTGGATGATCCTGTGGGTCTTTTCCAACCTTAGTGATTCCGTGATTCTGTGAAAGCATCTCCATTGTGCCTCGCCCTGGGTCTGTTAGATTCTGAGTTTCTTCACCTGTGTGTTTGTTATCGTTTAATAAGGATCACGTTTCTGTTTACACAGAGCCATGTTTACATAAAACTCCAAAGAGATCACTGAGTAGGAAATCCAGAATACCCACCTTCAGCTCACCAATTAATGACACTGATATACAGCAAGAAATCTTTTGGGATCCTCATTCACCAATTGCACGTGGAATAGGTAATATTAACAAAATTCAGACTTCAGGGTGCCTGTCAAGGGAATGCAATTGCAATGTATTAGAAGAAGGGAAAAGACTCTTCAGCAGGGTCTCTTGTGACAGAACAAGGGGAAATAGTTTCAAACTAACAGATGGGAGATTTAGATTGGACATAAGGAAGAAGGTTTTTACAGTAAGGGTGGTGAGGCACTGACACACGTTGCTCAGAGATATCATGGATGCCCCATCCCTGGAGACATTCAAGCTAAGGCTGAATGGAACTCTGAGCACCTGATAGTCCTGTAGGTTTCCCTATTCATTGGAGGGCAGTTGGACTGCATGGCCTTTAAAGATCCCTTCTAAGTCAAATGATTCTGTGATAAAAGTCCAAATTTATTGGAAAAATGCCCCTTCTTGTATCGTGACAGCACCTGGTGAGTCCAGAGGTGTTTGGTTTGATTTTACTTTTATTAAAATCCCCCAGATTCCTCAGTACAGTGTTATATGAACTTCGGACTTCATCAAGTGTAATTTGAGCTATAATGAACTTTATAAATTGTAAAGTTTTGCCATTTTTTAAGTTTTTTTTTTTTATTATTATTATTTTCTTAGGCAAAGGAAAAACCAAACAGCTTACCAGTAGATGTGCAGTAGAAATTTCAGAAATTGTTAATAGGATTGCTCCTCAGGTAATTGTTACTTTCTAAAACAATGCTCTGTATATGCAGTACTGAAACAGAACAGTGCTTTTACTGAAGGCTCCCTTTTAGTTACAGTAGTCTAACATACATGGCAAGAAGCAAGTGTGCAGATAACTAGAAACATGTTTATAAAACTGGCTTGAATTATAATCATAAGCTCAACATTTGACTCTTAAAAAAACAAGATGTATGAAGAAAGTGGACTAGTTGCAGCTGCATTTAGGAAGTTCTACTTGCAGAACTCAGCTTATTGCCCCTGATCTTAGAAGATTTATTGTGGTTTACATATCCTTAATCACTTGTGCATTAAAAGGTATAGTTTCTTCACATACTGGATTTACTTGGCAACATCTGACTCGGATATCTAAGAGAGGCTGCTCAATGCTATAAATGCAGTAAAGCTGCACCATTATTCTAAGTAATTTGTGTTTTTTACTCCAAGGTCCACACTCTTGACGTCTCTTTCTGGCTGTCAAACTGACATCCACAGCCTGCAAAATGAAAAGAAGATAGTCTTTTAATAGGAGTCTATTGTTTGTATTGTACTAGATGGAAGAAGAGAACTTGTCATTCCTAGTACAGTCTGTAGAATGTGGCGTGCCAAAAATGCCTGTTTATTTGACAGAGCCATTTAAATGTATTTGCTATTTTGAATATTTGTGAGAAAGGAGAATTAAAAATCATTGATAAGGGATGTCATTTCCTTTTAAATGACTACAGTTCTATAATGACTATAAATGATATCATACTGGGTTTGCTAATATATATTGCTTGCGTTCTTTTTTTCTTGAAAAATGAAACATACTGAAAACTACCCTGATAGTCAGTGAAGTTCAAATTACCTTTGTTGGCTAACATGCAGTCACTCCTCACATTCAGTATTTGGCTCTGGCCCTGTACTCACTGTACTGCTGCAGTGGTGTATCTCTTGGATTTAGGAATTCAGATCCCAGCCTGAATGTTGAAGCTGTAAAAAGAGCTCATTCCATTTCTAAACATCCTTGATTTCTGTTTAAAGGCTCCTTTCTAAGAGTTGTAATGGAAGAAGTCAGATTTTTTTTTCCATACAAAATATGATCTGTTTCAAATTCTTCCATCTGTTAATGCTGCTGTAAGTGGATAAAGATAAGGGTATCTTAAGTAGCTTCTTACTTGTGTACTAAAGTAAATAAACTAAATCACAGCTTGTAATGTGAATATTGCTGATTATTCGTAAACCTGACTGGGAAGCAAATATAGTATTAGATTTAATCACCAAACTAAAATTCAATTATTTTAATTGAAGTTTCAGCATTAAATTGATACAATTAAACTGATACAACTATCAGTTGACAGTGTTGGAGTAATCTTGCTTAGCTTGTATTGGTTTAGCTCCCATCCTTGGCTTTCAATAGATTTGATCCAATTTAATTGATTTAGTAACGTTAACTAATGCAAGGTGTGTGCCTAGTCAAATCCTTATCTGAAATCAAATTGCTAAGCATTATAAATCTAATCATCCAGGATGAAAAAGCAGCCTGTAATGAAGGCTCCCTTCTGGGGACGTGGATTGGTGAGGATGCTATTCCCTGCACACCTGGAGTAGTAAAAGTGCGAGCCAGGACAAAGTTGTGTTGTACAAGGTAAGTCAGAGTTTTGCCTTGCCCATTGTAGCTGGGTTTTCATGTAAAAAGGCTATGTGGTGTTTCAGTATGCATAGTGAGCCATGTGGTTGTGTATTAGCATACAGAAAGATTTTAACTTTGCAGTTGCTATCTTGTTAATTGGGTGGTTATCACTGGGAGTTATCTAAAGGATTGCGTGCATTGAGAGCAGCAGGATTCAGTCTTATTCTCAGTAGTTGTTAAACTAGTGAATAAACAGCATATAGGGTAGCTTAGCTGAACTTAGCAAAACTTTCTCAATAGGTCTGATTCTCTTCTCTATTTTATTTTACTTTTGTGTTTTATTCATCTAGAGATCTAAAAATAAAAAGTCCTGAAGAGGAGCTCATGAAGTTGGCCAAGGAATTTGATAAAAATCTGGTAGAGCTAGATGCTGTTCATGAACAAGAGAAGCTTAGTCATGGCTTTATCCAGACCACCTCCGAGTCTTTAAATGATCACAAAGATGAATCAAAAATCAAGAACCTGAAATCGCTCCTTGATGAGGTTTCTGCAACAAGTACTGCTCTGTCTCTGAAACCAGTTGGAGAAAGCACTGGCATCCCTACAGTAGAGCCTTGTCAGTCTAGCAGTCAAAAGTCTATAGACCTTGAGGCTGAAATAGCCCTTCATGCTCTTTTTGATTGTTCTACCCAGAAGTGTAGTGGACAGTTAAGCCAAGGGCTCTCAGGTATTTCTCTAAATAACAGTTTCTGTGAAAACAAAAGTATCTTGGAGATTGACCACCTTCCTGAGCAAATTAAAAACGTGCAAAATGGCAGATCAGGTGCGTGTCGAAAAGATACCCTACGTGCACTAGGAAGTGTGAAACAGGCTTTTCAAAAAACTGATACTCACATGCTGACAAAAAAAAGTTCTTCTTTGAAGACAGAATTGGTGGTCTCCAGTAAGCCTGGAGTAGTTAATGATGATTTTGATGACTGGGATACAGACTTTTTGGCAGATGACTCTTTTGTGATGCAAATAACCCAAAATCCCGAGTTGATAAACATTGAAGAAGCTCCACCAATTCCTATAAATCCATCTGTGCAGGGTTCCAGTGATGCCAGCAGAACAAAGGAAAGAAGTAATTCTACTTCAGTAATTTGTTTGGAGAGCGTACACAAATCTAACAGTTTCCAGTTTTCACCTTTGAAGCATCCTAGTAAAAATGCACAAAATGTTGCAAAATCTCTTTCTTTACAAAAGCCTTATAATAAGATGGAAAACTCAAAGATGGCAAGCATGGATTCTGCTTGGAGAAGTGCCCCCAACAACAATTTTAACTGTATTCCTGTTTCAATGCAGTCTCAAGCGAAGAATGGAAATGGAACTGTTGAGCCTAAAGGTAACCTTGTTCCTCTTTGTCCTTCAAGATCTCATTCTCGTAGACCTCAGACTGAAAAACCAGGGAATGACACACATGTTGTTTTCTGTGAGTCAACCAGTGTTTCTACCAATACGAAACCTAATGTCAATACAGGTCACTTAAATCCAGCTGAAATACCAAAGAAATGTCCTCTGTCATTTGATGACTGGAATGAACCAAAATTCTCTGATGAGGTTTTAGACATGTTTTGTGAATCTGATAGTCTTTGGGATGCAAACTGCGAGGACGATGAATTATTGTATCAGGTATGTGATGATGTAGAAAAGCAGACTCAGAACCACGAAGTTAAACAAGGAATCGAAAGAACTAAAACAATACAAGGAGCCAGTATTCAATCCAGATCAAATGCTGACAGTGGCTTTGCAGCATCTAAACCAGGACTATCTGATCACCCCTCAGCACAACAAAGAAACGCACAGCAGGATGGTCGTTCACTAGACAACTCTAGGAACTTAAGGGTTACACATGGGCTGACTGCAACAGGGCACGTAGCAAACTGTAAAAACGTACTGAATCCTCTAACAGCCACCTCTGGTACTTCAGCGAAGAGTAAATACACACTGTCAAAAAACTATCATCAAGCTGCTTCCGAAGATACTAGAAGGAGTGCTTCAGGAAAATGGCACAGGTCAAACTCTGTGCCGGCAAAAGAAACTAGTTCTGAAGCAAGCCCAGCTAATGCAATAAACATTTTTTGTAGCAAATCGTTAGAGAGCCAGCATCTTTTGTATAATGCAGGAAAGATGCCAAATAACAGTTCTGGTAACAGCATGTCACTTCTGCCTTCAAAGTTTAAGTTTCGAAAGACTGACAGTTCTCAGAGAGCTCTTCATGTAGGGCCTGAAAATCCAGGGAGTCATTCTGGCATTGGAATTGCTCTTCAGGGATTGGAAGGAAGTAAGAATCAGGTGAATGTGACCTCGCACAGCAAGCCTGAAAATACAAAACCACCTTTCAAGAGGCACCTTTCAGAGTCTTTTGCATTGCCTACATCAGGTGCGTGCCTTAGATATTGAATCACTGCTGAACTGCTTTTCTGTTGTTATTTTTTTCCTCATTGTGCACAGGAAGTTACAGGATAAGTTTATACCATGTTTCAACTTAAAATAGATTTCAATATTTATCCATTCAGTTTAGGCAATAGTAAATGTACTAATGAGAATTTGGAAGTTGCTTTCTCCAAACTTAAAACTGTCTTGACACATTTCTTGAATTCCTGTAGTTAAGGACTTTTCTTTCCTATTTTTGTTCCGCTTCTCAGAAATCTTCATACTCCACAGGCACTCAGAACCACTAGAATCAGGTATACTCTGATGGC